TTAGACCAATATTTTTCTGTCTTGCAGAATTAGTTTAAACTTTATAACAATTCTTTGTTACAGTGGTTCAATTTCAGACTAGGCTAATTAAAATGACACTAGCCCACTGTCATTCTGGTTCTGAAGCTCTTTACAGCAAAGGTTATAACTTAAAAAAAAAATAAAAAAAACAAAACCCAGGAGCATGATAAAGGATGATTTGCAGATTAAATTATTGAATTTCATGTAGTTCTTTAAAATTATATTTTTTTCCTCTCAAACTAACCAAATGTATGAACTTTAATAGAACTTCTGCAGTATCAGAGACCATGTTCTGGAGGACTTAGCCCTATGACCTCTAGAACTTACCCTTACTCCCATCCTCAATGAAGAGTATTTCAAGTGGCAGGGTCCAGCTAGGATTCACGTTACTCTCCAGACATTGTCATCTCATGCCCTTAATTGGCTCAGATCCTAAACTTCACCGCATTCCTCCCTTTCTACTTTTGAATCAGTACCACCATTGATTCTAGAAAGGGCATTTCCCGTCCTCCACCTTGGCCACCAGCTCCTTTTTAAGTGTTGTCTTCTGTTAGAATATAGACTCTTATGGAGGGCAGGGATAGTCCAGTTTTGTGTGTGTACTCTGAGCTTTTAGTATAGTGTTTGACACTTAGTACATGCTTGCATAATGCATTCTTTTCTTTTATTAGTTTATTTTTTAATTAAATTAAAAATTTTGAATTTTACAAACACCGGAAAAGAGCTTTAACATAAACTATGAATCTCTTTTCCATATGGTTTGCTTTTGTATGTGTTATATATGCATATATGTATATCACACATGTAATATATGTATATCGTAAGTATACATTCATATATGTATGTTACACATATCACACACATATTATATATGTAAAATAAGTTTAACATACTACTTTCAAAAGTGACCTGCTTATCTCTGCGTCCTTCTGCACTTGGTTTGTTCTCTTCTCCTCTGTGCACTTTTCAGATTATTTCTCTGGCCTTTTCTTTTTTTTTTCCTTATTACCCTTTCTGCCCTTTTCTTAGTGCTCTCTTTCCAATTAAAAATAGAAGAAAAAAACTACTCAAAACAAATAAGCATAATCTGTATATCCACAAGGTGACCTTATCCAAAAATGTACATCCACCTCCATGTCTTGCATGTGTCAAGAGATGGGTAATGTGCTTCTCTATAGGTCCTTTGGAAATGTGGTTGGTCATTGCTTTGATCAGTTTAACAAGTCTTTTAAAGTTTTTACAGTTTTTATCTTACAGATAAGAGTCTTTAGTGTTGACAGTTACTAAATTATTATCCTGGTTCTGCTCATGTCACTTTGTATCTTTGTACTATTCTTACTTCCTAGCATTCTCTGAAATAGTCTTTTTTGTTTCTTATGGGATAATAATGTTTCTTTTTTTTAAGTAATAACTTTTTATTGATATTTTGTTTTTTACATCACTGTAGTTTCTACCAGCAATCTTTCCTAGTAACCTTTCCCCATCCCTTCTTCAGAGCCATTTCATATACAAATAGTATATTTTTAAGGACAAAAAAAGAAAAAAAAGGAAAAACCAGCTTAACTGATTTTTGAAATCTGTTACCAAAATCAAAAAAGTCTGAAACTATGTGCAATATGGAATATTTGTGGACCTTCTACCTCTGCCACGGGGTGGATTTGGAATGCTTTCTCATATCTCTCCTTTGAGTCATGTTTATTTTTTATAACTTTGCTGTAGTCACTTTTGATTTTTTTTGTGTCTTTTTGGTTCTTTTCGTTTACATTGTTGTAGTCATTGTACATATTGTTTTCTTGGCTCTGTCTGCTTCACACTGCATTAGTCCATGCTTTTCTATATTCATCAAATCTCATTTCTTATGTACAGTAATATTCTATTACATTCATATACCACACTTTGTTTAGTCATCTCCAACTGATGGGCATCTACTTTGTTGCCAATTCTTTGCTATGACAAAAAAATGCTGTTGTAAATATTTTGGTATATATGAGGTCTTTGGGGTATAAACCCAGTAATAGAATCTCTAGGTCAAAGGCTATGGATAATTTAGTTACTTTATTTGCATAATCCCATATTGCTTTCCGAAATGGGCGTATGGATTTACTGCTCCACCAGCAATGCACTAGGCTGCCTATCTTTCCATAACCCATCCAGCATTGCCTATTGCCATCTTCTGTCATCATTGCTAGTTTGCAGCTTTAGTTCAAGATCTTGATTCCAGGATGCCTGCATAGACTTGATGGTTCTTTGCAAATACCCAGTCTGCTGCTGTCTTTCAAGGATTCTTTCAGGCTGAGTGACTCCCTGTCTGTGACAGAGTAATTTAAATGCTTCTTCCTGCTACTGCCCTCCCCAGTGGTACTAGAGAGAACTCTGTCCCTTCATAGTACTACTTTATGAGGTTTATGCAGCTATTTTGAAACATCTCTTTGACCTGTAGGGAATTAGTTCTGTTTCAGGATTACAGTTTTAAAATAGGTGTTAGGAAAACTAGAGAAACAGACATGGCCAGATAGCTAGGTGGCAGAGTGGATGGACTAATGAGCTTGGAGTCAGAAGTCATTTTGTTGTAAGGCTCAAATGAGATAATATTTATAAAAAGTCCTAGTAGGTACTATTATTCACTTCCCTTTTTACTAAATGAATACTTGTTATACCGAATTCAAATATCTGTGCTAATGCATATGTCAAATGTTAGCTGTAATCAAGTTCTCCTTCGGCAGCATTGAATCATTTGCCGGTGAGTATTATAAATATTTCTATGAATATGAAAAGTTACATATTCAAGATATGATATATATATCTACATCTACACATATGTAGGTATATGTGTGTGTACATACACATATATTTGTAGAAAGTAATTTTTGAAGTTGTTAAAATATTTCCTGCATGGAAAGATTAATCCTGTAGTGCCTTAACTTCCTTTTTTGGGAGAGCAGAGAAAAAGAAACTAATTTTTGCAACAATTATATGGTAGGTAGTATGGATATTATTGTAGCTATTTTATGAATGAGAAAACTGAAGCCTAGAGAGCTTAAGTAACTAACCAGGGTAAACCAATAAAAGTAACGGACATCAGAGAATAAAATATGTGTGTTTTTAGACACTATGTCCAGTATTCAGATATTAGAATCTTCCACTTAACATTGCTTTCCTTCCTTGTAGTTGGCTCATTTTAGGATGAACCAAAGTTTGATTATCACTCTCTTTAGACTATAGAAGCAGACTCTCACATATGGCCAAAGCCTCAGTTTCCAAAGTCAATTGGTTATTTTTATTAGCTTATGTTCCACTGGTTAACTATAAAAACAAATGAAGGTTTATTACTTTTTTTTTTTTACTTTTTAATTACATTTTAATTTTTAATTACCAGACATGTAAAATTGACTTATGTAGTATATGGAAGCTAGTCATTACTTCTTAGTAATAAATCATAATTCTAAAGTAATAAGTGTATCTATTTATATTTTTAAATTGATTTCTACAAGCACTTATTGTCTGCTATGTGCAAGTGCTATATTACTATAAAATGCTGTGGATAAAAAGGTAAAAACAGTTCTGTCCTCAAGGAACTTAAGTTCTCCTGAGAGAATGCAACATGTTCATGTATATAAATATGAAGAACATACAAATAATATAAAGTAATTTCAAGGATGAAAGTGTTGATAATTGGGGGGGTTCATAAAAAGTGGCACCAGAATGGTACTATGAAGGATGCCAATGTAGGAGGAATAACTGAGATTTGTATGCCAAAGTTTGGGTCCAATGATGTCTTGATAGAATGTAATGTTGGGCTGATTGAATGAGATGAATTGTAATAGGGATAAATTTAAAGTCTTATTCTTGGGTTAAAAAAAAGTCAACTTCGCAGATTCAAGATGTGTGAGATGTGTGGCTAGATACCAGTTCATTTGAAAAATATCTCTTCTATTTAGTCAGCTATGTAATTTAACAAACAAGCTAATGTAGTCTTAGGCTGAATTAAAACTGTGGTTTGAATTAAAACATTGTTTTTCAAAGCAAGGGAGGAAATAGTTCTACTGTACTCTGCTGTGGTCAAACCACCGTTAAATGTCACTTTTTAGGGAGGGCATTAATAAGATTGAGGGAGAGGGAGACAAAGAGGATGAAAGGCACAGAGACCGTAACATCTAAGTACTGGTAAAAGGAACTAGAGAAGAGAAGTGTTAGCCTGTACATGATAGCTCCTCTTAAGTATTCAGAGGTATTAGATTTGCCCTTCTTGTCCCCAGAAGACAGAATTAGGAGTAATAGGTAGAACTGGGAGTGACTTAAATAGTTTTATTGATAGTTTTTAAGCAAATGCTGGATGATAATTTATTTTATATACTGCAGAGGGAGATGTTAATGTACATTTTGGACTCAACCACTGTGGTTCCTCTGAACTCTCTCTCTAGTAATAAGTGCATCCATTGTGATTTGGTGAATTGAGTCTTTACGTGTATATGTGTGTGTGTGTGTGTGCTGCCCTGTCCTCTTTCAATTAAATGTTATCAGTAGTGACTAGTGCCTTAATTTTGTTAATGTTTATGTCAGCTGGTTTATATACTGTTACAGTTGTTTAGCCTCTGCTGTTGACATGCAAGAAAAATTTTTTTTGCCTAGTTTTCTGGGGTATTTGTGACCACACTGATTCCATAGAATACACATGTGGAAGATAAATTACTCATGTGTGTTTTGAGAAATTTTAGATCTTGGTTAATTCCTTTCAGAATTATTAATGGTAATGGTTGAACTGCTGGCATTTTGCAGATCAGTTTTTCTCTCCTTCATTTGAGGATAAAATAAGAAGAAAGACTACATCTCCAATGTAAAGTGTGGGGTTATTAGAAACCTTTAGTTATTCCTAGCTTCCCCAGAGGATCTAAGTAACCCTGTTTTTGCTCAATAGCAAATCACTGATTTAGGATTTTTGGTGTGTGTTTTTTTTTTTTTTTTTTTTTTTGTCATTAAAGCACATGCAGATGACAATCCAGGCTCTCCAGGATGAATTGCGGATCCAGAGGGACCTAAACCAGCTATTTCAGCAAGACAGTAGTAGCAGAGCTAGTGAACCCTTTGCAGCAGAGCTGACTGAGGAGAACTTTCAGAGGCTACATGCTGAACATGAGAGGCAAGCCAAGGAACTCTTCCTTCTTCGTAAGACCCTTGAAGAAATGGAGCTGCGCATTGAGACTCAGAAACAAACACTGAATGCACGAGATGAGTCCATAAAAAAGCTCTTGGAGATGTTGCAGAGTAAAGGACTGTCTGCCAAGGCTACTGAGGAAGACCATGAGAGAACAAGACGCCTGGCTGAGGCAGAGATGCATGTACACCACCTGGAAAGTCTCCTGGAACAAAAAGAAAAAGAGAGCAATATGTTGAGAGAGGTGAGTGTCTAACTTCTTTATTGTCATTTTCCTATTTTTTTTTTTTTTTTGCTAGCATCTCTTCCTAGACACAATTATCTCTTTTGTTATTCTAGGGGAAGAAGACATTTCTTTCTCTGTTGAATTTTTCAGTGATGTTTATTCTATCCCACCTCCCTAGCAGGGGATAACATTGTCTCCTCTGTATGCTGACTTAAAGTAGGCTGTTATCTCTAGGGTTTTTTGGTATCTAAAGATTTAGGCACTCAGTTTCTTCTGACCTCTTACATTGTTCTTTTTGTGGACATATAGGAGAAGCTAACTGTTAAGAAAATCTGATCATTGTTCAATTAAAAGATGAATAAAATAAAACGAGCAGCTATTTGTATTTAAGAGAGTGCAGAGAAAGATCTTGGCAGTTATAATGAATGGTTGCTCTGTGGTTTCCATGGAAATAGTTACCTTAACCGTAAAAGAACATTTGATAAAGTCATCCACTGCTGGGTTGGCACAGCTAGAAAAGGTATATATATAAAGGAATAAAGTCACATATATTTTAAAGAGAAATTCAGTCTTCATCTAATATTCAGCCGTCCTTTTTCAGTTTAAGCAAAATGTAAATGAAAACTTCTTATCTTTGATAGAAAAAAGCAAAATGGTATCAATAATAATCGTTCTGTGATTGATCAGTGTGTTACTTTTGTTTGTGCATAATAAGACTCTTTTGGTCTGTTAGCCTAAAAATGCCATGCTTTGTAACTAAGAGGATAGAATATGTTTTCTGAAATTGTTATCTGTAATATCTACTTGAAATTTCTTCAGTGTTAAATGCTAGTTGAACACAAATGACCATTATATTTTCCAGTTTTCTTTATGTTTTTCTATGAACCATTAAATATTATTATATATAGTGTTTTAGGAGCTCTGCCTTCACTCTGGCTTCAAAGTGGAGAAAACTTTTATAAATATATATTCTCATAGAATTTAAAGCTATAAGGGACCTCATGCATCTAGTCAAAATGCTTCATTTTATAGATGAGGCTCAGAATGATGGTTTATCAGTTATCATGAGAATATTTGCCATCTTTGGAAGAAAACCACTGCAAATTGTACACGTAAAATAGAATTACTATTTGAGATGTTTATTGAACACTCACTCCTAGGAGAAATCATTTTAATTGATCTTAATAGGTTCCTAGGAATAATAGAGCAAAAGATAACATGGAGGTGATTTGACTCAAGAGATTTACTTGTGGTTCCATTTATACCTTTAAAAAATTTTTTAAACAGAAAAGATATATGCCCTCATACTGCATGCTGTAATGAAATTAACCCTTAAAAGAACTGTCAAGTTTTTGGAGATTAAGATATAGCTCAGTTAAAAGTGAGAATAAATTAAAGTTACCTCTTTAAGCTAAAAGAAAAAATATGAGAAAACTGAAAATTAGGACATTTAAATGTTTATTAAAAGGAAAGCTGTGGCAGTAATATTTTAGGGAAACATATAATAGCTACTTCTGAAAGGTGGTCATAGCTAGGTATCTAAATTTTAGTGTGATATGTGGCCTATACAAAAAAAAGGAAAGATTTTACACAATGTAGGGTAGTCCAAATATATTTAAATTCTATATTCCCTTAAATCTTTACAAATTGGAAGCAATAGGTTTCTAGTGGAGGAAGGCTATTCTTTTTACCATGCCAACCCCCATTTTAACCTAGTGTTTATACTTAGTCATGTATTCACTATGCCATTTTGTTTGTGTTTCATCATTTATTGAAGAGATAAGAAATATTTTTGTAGATATTGCATGATCAGTTCTCAGAAGATTCTTGTATGATTGGGAATGTTTTACACTGAATAGGGAAACATGTGGGAAAGAGGTGAAAGGGAAATAAGAAGAAGGCTGGGTTAAGGGAAAGGCAGCTGGGTGGCACAGCAGATAGAGCACTGAACCTGGAGTCAGGAAGACTCATCTTCCTGAGTTCTGATCTGGTCTCAGATACTTAATAGCTGTGTGACCCTGGGTAAGTCACTTAATCCTGTTTGTCTTAGTTTCTTTTCTGTAAAATGAGCAGGAGAAGGAAAGGGCAAGCCATTCCAGAACTCTGCCAAGAAGACCCCAAATAGGGAATCACAAAGAGTTGGATATGACTGAAAAACAACTGAACAGCCACAGCAGGGCATGGAATGGAAGCACAAGAAATTAGTATGGAAGGAAATACTCATTTAGTGATATTAACTATGAATTTGAATGGTGTGAACTCCTGCCTTTGCAACATCGCTTGATTATTTCCACCACTGTAGTGCAAATCTCTTATCTTCTCACCCCTGGACCACTGCAATAACCTGCTGGTGGGTTTGCCACTTCAGTTTTCTCCCCACTCCAATCCATTCTCCATTCAGCCTCAAAAAGTGATTTTCCTAAAATACAGGTTTGATTTTACCCCCATTCCCCACCCCCAATTAAACTCCAGTTACTCCCTTTTGCCTCCAGGAGCAAATACAAAATGCTCTGTCAATCAAAGCCCTTAGTAATACAGGCCCCTCCTACCTTTCCAATCACCTTAAACCTTACTCCCTGGGCTAGCTAGTAAGTGTGAGGCCAGATTTGAACTCAGGTCCTCCTGACTCCAGGGCCGGTGCTGTATTCACTGTACCACCTAGCTGCCTCTCCCTGGGCATTTTCCCTGGCTTCCTTTAAGTCCCAACTAAAATTCTGTTTTCTATGGGAAGCTTTCCCCAACCCCTTAATTCCAGTGCTTTCCCTGTGTTAGTTATTTTCTTTTTCTTTTTTTTTTTTTTTTGGCTAGACAATGGGGTTAAGTGACTTGCCCAGGGTCACACAGCTAGTAAGTGTTATGTGTCTGAGGCCGGATTTGAACTCAGGTCCTCCTGAATCCAGGGCTGGTGCTCTATCCACCGTGCCACCTAGCTGCCCCCTAGTTATTTTCTAACTATCCTGTATATAGCTTGTTTTATTTGCTTGCTTTCTCCTCCATTAGATTGTAAACTCCTTGAAGGCAGTTTTTGCCTCTTTTTTGTGTCCTCAACACTTAGCACAGTGCCTTCCACATAGTAGGTGCTTAATAAATGTTTTTTGATTAATTAATTGAATATGTTAGAATACAGAGTCCAGCAATATTTTGTTTACAAGAAACATTCAGAATAGAAAAATACACATAGAATTAAAATAAGGAACAAAATCTGTTTTACTTCAACTTAAGTAAAAAAGGCAAGGGATAGCAATCACGATTTGAATCAAAGCAGCAGCAAAAATAGATAATTAAAAGAGATAAACAGGGAAACTACATTTTGTTGAAAGGTACAAAGTAAATGAATGAATATTAAACATGCATACGCCAAATAGCATAGTATCTAAATGAATTACAAGAAGAAATTGACAGTAGAATTACAATAATAGGAAATCTCTACTTGCCTCTTTCAGACTGTGATCTAATCACAAAATAAATAAGAAGGAAGGATCTGATTAGAATTTTAGAAAAGTTACTTCTGATAGACCTAAAGGTCTATTAGATTGTTGAATGGGAATAAAAATGAGTTGATCTTATTTGTCAGCTGTGCATGGAAACTTAAAAAAATTGACTATGTTTTAGGGCATAAAAACCTCAAAAACAAGCATAGAAAATCAAAATATTAAACCCATCTTTTAAGTATCATGATGTAAGAAAAATTATATTAAATAAAGGGCTACTGAAAAAAATGAAAAATTAAAGACTTAATATTGTAAACAATGCATGAGGCAGAGAACAAATCATGGAAGCAATTGGTGATTTCTTTAAAGATAGCATTTCAGAATTTTTGGGATGGAGACAAAGCAGTCTTTTGGGGAAAATATATATATGCCTAAACACTTTCATCAATAAAAGAAAAGAAAGAGAAGAAAAATGGGTTGGGCATACAGTCAAAAAAACTTAGAAAACCAACAGATGAAATTCCAATTAAACACCAAAATAGAAATCCTGAAAGTCAAAGATGAGATCAATAAAATTGAAAGCAAAAAAAAAAAGGATTTAATTAGTAAATAACACTAGATACTTATTGGTTTTGGGAACAAACTAATATCTTAGACAAACCATTAGTTAATTTGTTTAAAAAAGGAAAGAAGAAAACCAAATTACCAGTACTGAAAAGGTGAATTCAAAATTAAAGAAGAAATACATTATTAGAAACTAATTCACCTAGTTTTGTAACTAATAAAAGTGACACTCTAAAATAGATCACTATTGACAAAAATATCAAATGCCCAGATTAACAAAACCAAGAAATATAACTCTTAAGAAATTCAGAGAAAGAAGGAACAGCTAGGTGGTGCAGTAGAGTACCGGCCCTGAAGTCAGGAGGACCTGAGTTCAAATTCAGCCTCAGACCAAACTCTTGACACTTACTAGCTGTGTGACCCTAGGCAAGTCACTTAACCCCAATTGCCTAATTTAAAAAAAAAATAAATTCAGAGAAAGAAATTGAAGTTATATATGGTTTTTCAAAAAAAGGAAAGTCTGGGTCATATGAGCTTATAAGCAAATTCTCTCAATTATTAAATAATAATTCCCAAACTACAGAACTATTTGAAAAAGTGGGGGTGGGGAAGAGTCTATCAAATTACTTCTTTGTTACAAATATGGTCTTGATGCCTAAGCGAAGAAGAGTCAACACAGAAAAAGAAACCTCATACCCATTAGATTGACAAAGGTGAATAAAAAGAAAATGACGTGTTGGAGATTTGTGGGAAAATAGGCAATTGATAGACTGTTCTTGTACTTGTGAATTGGTCTACCCATTCTGAAAAGAAATTTAGAACTGATGGAAGTGCTTGGGTGCTTGTGCTCAGACCCTAATTCCAAAACTATATTTCTCCCTAGCCTTAAAAACGCTATCCCTGGCAGTTTCTCCCCAGCCCAAGGACACTGTGCCTAGCAATTACTCATGAGTGGGCCCCAGCAAAACACTTATCTCTCTCCCTGGTGCTGTTACAAACTGCGCCTGTCGGAATTATTAGTTT